ATGTGTATATGTATATATATATATATATATATATATATATGTATATATATGTGTATATGTATATATATATATATGTATATATATGTGTATATGTATATATATATATATATGTATATATATGTGTATATGTATGATTGAGGGGAGTGGTGGTGCAGAGGTTAGAGAAGGTGGGCCTGTGATTGGAAGATTGCTGGTTCAAGCCCCGGTACCGACAACATCAAAAATGTGGGTGGGGTAAGTGAAGCACCCACACCTGCCCCCACCCTCATTCGTCCCACTCTGGGCCCTTGAGCAAGGCCCATAACCCCCATCTGCTCCCCCAGGTGTCCTAGATAGCAGTTCTCTGCTCCAAACAGAGGGCTGTGGTAGCTCAGTGGTCTGTGGTTGCGTCAGGAAGGACACCCGCCGTAAAAATAACTGCTACGTCTTCATGCGACTTATTTCGCTGTGGCGACCCCTAACGCAGGGAGCAGCCGAAAGAATTTTTTTTTTATAATAATAAAATGTATATATATATATATATATATATATATATATATATATATATATATATATAATTAATTAATTAATTAAAAATATTGAATACAAACTAATTATTGAATTGAACATTGAATTAATTACCGGACTGTAGACTGCACCCAAATGTAAGCCACACACACACTAAATAAATAACAAATAATAAAATTGTACATTTGTAAGCCACTCTTGTGTATACACCGCAGGTGTTCACATTATACCATGAGAGGCAGCACACAGCTACTGAGAGAGATGTGCAGCTCTTGTTGTAGATCAAGATTCAACCACCAGATATAGTTTTACAGACTTTATCTGTTCAACACAGAGAGAGAGAGTGAACCCCACAGGTCTTCATGACAACTACCTCCCTCACTCATGGTTACTCTGAATGACCTAACACAAACTAACACATGATGAACACACAAACTAAGAAGAACAGACTAATCACTAAAAGAACAATGGTAAACAGCTTACTGAAATGATTAACAATGAACATACATTTAACCCATTAATCCCTCACTGAGGTCATGTGACCAGCAGGCGATCACCTTTGACATCACTTCCTATTACTGTGCATGAGAATATGTCAACAACTGTTCATCTCAGTGGCAGGAAATGCATTTTGCTATATGTTATTAATGGGATCTCTCCGGAAGCTCTTTCATATTTATTAAGAAGATTTTATGTCACAGTCACCTTAAAAAATTTGTTGTTTTAAGACGACAGCAATCAGCTCATCTGTCCTGTCAGAATAAATCTCCCTTCTCTAAAAGAAGATCATTCAAAGAGCTGCAGGTAAGATATTTCAAAGTGTTTGAAATAGCCCTTTAAACACAAAGTTGACTGTGCAAACGTCTTTTTAGCGTGTTTGAGTCAAAGTTGTGACTTCCACATCATCATACCTGTCAGTAATCTTGCCTTCTGTTGTGTGTTGGTTCAGCTGAGGCCGCGGAGCAGCTGGGGACCAACAGGAAGCTGGTGGAGAGACTGGTGGAGTGGTGTGAAGCCAAAGATCACGCAGGAGTGATGGGCGAGTCCAACAGGCTCCTGTCAGCTCTGATCCGACATAGCAAGTCCAAGGTAACACATGGTCCGAACACTGGTTTCTTCCAGTCAGCAGAGAAGTTACATATGAACAGTGGTGAGCACAGTTCCGCTAATAGCAGAGCTCATTTTTCCTTTAGCAGAATAGTGATTTCACATACTTTGGAAACTGTTAGCGGAATTAGGTTCCACTGAATTAGGTCCTTTATTTAATCAGACAAATTCCACTGAGATCACAGATCTCTTTTCAAGGCAGGCTTGGGCCTGAAGTTAGTCCAACATGCATGATTTTGGTTTGTGGAAGGAAACCGAAGTTGCCGAATAACTCATACCCATTGGAATATCTTGCACCAAAAACATTAAGGTTTGCTTGGATTCCCTGCAGTGTTTCCCCTAGTTAGCTTGCCATGGCGGGGTGCTCATCTCATCCATGATTTTTGCTGATGGGGGATGGAGACATGTCTGAGCGCAGCTTGTACTAACAGTTTTTGAGCGGGGGTGGGGAGCGTTCAACATGAGGGAAGAGGCAACATGAGTGCTGCCTTGGGCTTTTTAGCTAGAGAGCCTGTATTTTGTGCCGCTACCTTAGTGATAGGTCAGTGCCGGGTGGGGGTGGGAGGGGCAAGTTCAGTTTGGTAGGCGGGGTGCTCAGTTCTGTTGACGGGGTGGGGCACCCCGCCTGTTTAATGGTAGGGGAAACACTGCCCTGTTCGATTCCAGTCCAGAGCAGCTCTCACTGAAGACTACAAACATTCACTATTCATATAATTTAGCAACGAGGAACATCAGCAGACTACTTGTAAAAAAACAAACCCCCCTCCCCCCCAAAAAAAACCCTTCACACTGATTTACCAATAACACTGAAGCAGCGGCTCTACCTGGTGTCAGCCTGTATGTTTGCATTTGTAAGTTAACCTGTAGATTAATTGGTTTATTGTTTATTAATGATGTTATTGTGGCTTTTAGGAAGTTGTCAGAACTGTCATCCAGGGAGGAGGAGTAAAACACCTGGTTACCATGGCAACCAGTGAGCACATGATAATGCAGAATGAAGCGTTGGTGGCTCTGGGTCTCATAGCGGCACTGGATTTGGGTAAGCCAATGGAGAGAAGCTAAAACTGGACAACGTTTTTAATGTGGGGAATAAAAGACATATCCTGATGAAAAATAACATCAAGGTTTTTAACTTTAGAACTGGAGAACAGATTAATGCCATCCAGAGAAAGTGAAAGACTGAAAATGTATTCCTAACATGCTCAGGTCCAAAAACCAAAACCTCAGTCTTATCTGTGTTCAACAGGAGAAAATTAAGGGTCATCCAGGTTTTTATGTCTTTAAGACATGCTTGTAGTCTAAGTAGCTGATTGGATTCATTGGGTTTAATGGACAAATATAATTGTATCATCAGCATAACAATGAAAATGTATCCCATGCTGTTTAATAACTTTACCTAATGGAAGCATATATAAAGTAAAGAGTTTTGTTCCAAGCACTGAACCCTGAGGAACTCCATGACTAACTTTGGTGTATGAAGAAGATTTATTATTTACATTTACAAACTGGAATATATCAGATAGATTTAAATGATTTAGAGCCGTTCCTGTAATCCCAATATCATATTCAAGCCTCTGTAGTAAAATATTGTGATCTACTGTATCAAATACAGCACTGAGGTCTAACAGGACCAGTATAGACACAAGTCCAATGTCTGAGGCCATGAGAATATCATTAGTGACTTTTACTAGTACTGTTTCTGTGCTAGGATAAGCTCTAAACCCTGACTGAAACTCTTCAAACAGATTATTTCTTTGTAGATGTTCACACTATTGATTCAGTTCAATTCAGTTTATTTCTATAGCTCCAAGTCACAACAGAAGTTGTCTCAGGGTACGAAACAAAAACATGTACATTAAAAAAAATTATGTACATAAAACAAGACAATTAGTAAAAATTATTTATCTATGGAAGCAGCAGACTCATTGAATCTCCACTTCATCACAGTCTCCCATCCTGAGCAAGTACAAAGTAGACAGTGGGAAGGAAAAACTCCCTTTTAACAGGAAGAAACCTCGAGCAGAACCAGGCTCACGACAAGTGGCCATCTGCTTTGACCAGCTTGGTTTAGAGGACAAAAAAGAGAGACAAACGAACACAGAATGGCCCGTCTAGATATAGGTCTAGGTGTACCTGAAAGACAAAAACACATGTCAAGGATAGAAAAAATAATTACAAATACAAACCAGGTTGAGCAGAGTAAGTGATTTTGATTTTATTGGTTTTTAATCACAGTGAGTAAGTGTTTTGGGGAGTGGTGGCGTAGAGGTTAGAGAAGGTGGGCCTGTGATCGGAAGATGGCCGGTTCAAGCCCCGCTACCGACAACATCAAAAATGTGGGTGGGGTAGGTGAAGTACCCACACCTGCCCCCACCCTCATTCGCCCCACTCTGGGCCCATGAGCAAGGCCCTTAACCCCCATCTGCTCCCTAAACAGGTCTCTCTTGAAAATGAGTTCTCGTGGCTCAATGAGACTACCTGTATAAATAAATGGTAAATGAAAAAAAAAAAAAAAGTGATTAGTGATTTTAAATCACTAACTTTAGAAAACTCTCCTGAACTTTTCCCAGAGAGCCCTGACAGACACTCAGCACTTATTTAACCCACAAAACACTTTCTGTAGGAAACCGACCTCTGTGTTCTGCTTTTCAGCTGCAGCTGAGAAGGACTTTGTCGGAGCCAACCTGGTGTCTGTTCTTCACAAGCTGCTGTCAGACGAGCGAAGTGCTCCAGAGATTAAATACAACTCCATGATCCTCATCTGTGCAGTCATGGGCTCAGGTAGGACCTGAACGTAATTGCTGCTGACTGATAACAATCAAAATGTATCTTGCATTTGTAATTCAAACGTGGGTGAAAAGTATTTACCACCTATTATTGAGCATGGACTTTGTTGTTCACCACCTATGGTTTTCTCTCCATTTTGTTGCTGTGAAACCTATCATTGTCCCCCATCACAGAGCAAAGAGGGCAAATACTCTTTATTGGAAATACTCTCCGTTCATCTGTTTGTTCGGGCTGCTGTTTAATATACTGTATTATTTTACATTATTATGACAAGGATGGATAAGATTAGGAATGAGATCATCAGAGGTACAGCACAGGTTGAACAACTCAGAGATAAAGATAGAGAGACCAGACTGAGATGGTTTGGACATGTCCAGAGGAGGGACAGTGATTTGGACATGTCCAGAGGAGGGACAATGATTTGGACATGTCCAGAGGAAGGACAGTGGTTTCGACATGTCCAGAGGAGGGACAGTGGTTTCGACATGTCCAGAGGAGGGACAGAGGTTTCAACATGTCCAGAGGAGGGACAGTGGGTACATTGGTAGAAGGATGTTAGAAATGCAGCTGCCAGGACAAAGACAAAGAGGAGATATATGGATGCAGTTAGAGAGGACATGGAGGTAGTTGGAGTGAGGACAGAGGATGCAGAGGACAGAGTGAGATGGAGGAGGAGGATGACGCGCTGTGGAGACTCCTGAAGAGGGCAAAGCTGAAAGAAGATTTTACATTATTAGTGCTCCCTGACAGGCCAGACAAAGAGCGATTCAGAAGATTTTTATGGACAAGACAAAACAAGGAACTCGGTGTCCCTTGCCCAAACATGGGTTACCGGGGCCCCACCCTGGAGCCAGGCCTGGGGGAGGGGCTTGTCAGCAAGCACCTGGTGACCGGGTCTCTGCCCATGGGGCCCGGTCGGGCTCAGCCCAAAGGAGCAGCATGAGTTTGCCTTCCTGTGGACCCACCACCTGCAGGAAGGGCCATAAAAGTCGGGTGCATGAGGCCATGGGCAGTGGCCGAAGGCCGGGACCTTGGCGCTCAGACCCTGGCTGACCAAAGCTAGCTCTTGAGACATGGAATGTAACCTCTCTGGCAGGGCAGGAGCCTGAGCTTGTGCGCAAGGTTGAGAGGTACCGACTAGATATAGTTGGGCTCACCTAAACGCACAGCATGGGCTCTAGAACTGATCTCCTTGAGAGGGGTTGGACCTTATTCTTCTCTGGAGTTGCCCATGGTGAGTGATGTCGAGCTGGTGTGGGTCTACTTGTAGCCCCCCGACTTGGTGCCTGTGTATTGGAGTTTTCCCCGGTAGATGAGAGGGTGGCTTCCCTTCGGGTTGGGGTACGGGCTCTGACTGTTGTTTGTGCCTACGCACCGAATTACAGTTCAGAGTATCCGGCCTTCTTGGAGTTCTTGGCAGGGGTGCTGGAAGGTGCACCAGCTGGGGACTCCTTTATTCTGCTGGGGGACTTCAATGCCCACGTGGGTAATGACAGTGTGACCTGGAGGGGCGTGATTGGGAGGAACGGCCTCTCTGATCTGAACCCGAACGGTGTTCTGTTGTTGGACTGATGTGCTAGTCATAGTTTGTCCATCACGAACACCATATTCCAACATAAGGGTGTCCATAAGTGCACTTGGCACCAGTACGCCCTAGGTCATAGATCGATGATTGACTTCATAGTCGTGTCATCTGATTTGTGTCCATTTGTTTTGGACACTCCGATAAAGAGAGGAGCTGAGCTGTCAACTGATCACCACCTGGTAGTGAGTTGGATCAGATGGTGGGGGAAAATGCTGGACAGACCCAGTAGACCCAAACGGTTTGCTGGGAATGCCTGGCAGAAGAACCTGTCAGAGAGATCTTCAACTCACACCTCCGGGAGAACTTTAACCGCATCCCAGCTGAGGTGGGGGACATTGAGTCCGAGTGGGCCATGTCCGCACCTCGCTTGTTGAGGTAGCTGCCTTGAGCTGTGGCTGCAAGGTTGTCGGTGCTTCTCGCGGTGGTCATCCACGAACTCTGTGGTGGACACCCCGGGTTAGAGAGGCTGTCAAGCTGAAGGAGTCCTATCGGGCCTTGTTGGCCAGTGGGACTCTGGAGGCAGCTGAGGAGTACCGGAGGGCCAAGCAGTGTGCATCCTTGTCTGTTGCTGAGGCAAAAGCTCGGATGTGGGAGGAGTTCGGTGAGACCTTGGATAGAGACTCTCGGTCAGCTCCGAGGAGATTCTGGCAAACCATCAGGTGGCTGAGGGGGGAAAAGCAGCACTTTACTAACACTGTGTTCAGTGAAGGTGGGGTGCTGTTGACTTCAACCAGTGATGTCGTCTGGAGGTGGAAGGAATACCTCTCAGACCTTCTCAATCCCACCAGCACGTCTTCCATGGAGGAAGCCTAGTCGAGGGACTTTGGGGTTGATCCTTCCATAACCGTAGCTGAGGTCGCCGAGGTAGTTAAAAAGCTCAGAAGCGGCAGGGCTCCGGGAGTGGATGAGATTCACCCTGATTTCCTTAAGGCTCTGGATGTTGTGAGGCTGTCTTGGCTGACACGTCTTTGCAACGTTGCATGGACATCGGGGGCAGTGCCACAGGACTGGCAGACTGGGGTGGTGGTTCCCCTCTTCAAAAAGGGGGACCGGAGGGTATGCTCCAATTATAGGGGCATCACTCTCCTTAGGCTCCCTGGTAAGGTCTATTCAGGAGTACTGGAAAAGTGAGTTTGATCGTTGGTCGAACCTCAGATCCAGGAAGAACAATGTGTGTTCCATCCTGGCCGTGGAACACTGGATCAGCTCTTTACCTTCACTAGGGTCCTTGAGGGGTCATGAGAGTTTACCCATCCAGTCTAAATGTGTTTTTGGACTTGGAGAAGGCATTCGACCGTGTTCCTCGGGATACACTGTGGGGGATGCTCTGTGAGTATGGGATTGGAGGCCCGTTGTTACGGGCTGTTCAGTCCCTATACAAGCAGTGCGAGAGTTTGGTTCGCATTGCCGGCAGTAAATCGGACCCCTTCAGGGTGGGAGTTGGACTCCGCCAGGGCTGCCCATTGTCATCGATTCTTTTCATAACTTTTATGGACAGAATTTCTTGCTGCAGCCAGCTGGTGGAGAGTTCCTTGTTCAGTGGCCTCAGGATTCCTTCTCTGCTCTTTGCAGACGATGTGGTCCTGTTGGCGTCATCGTGCCGTGATCTTCAGCTCTCACTGGAGCGGTTCGCAGCCGAGTGTGACATGGCTGGGATGAGAATCAGCACCTCCAAATCTGAGGCCATGGTCCTCCACTGGAAAAAGGTGGATTGCTGTCTTCAGGTTGAGGGTGAGGACATGAAGTGGAGACATTGAGTCGAGAAGTGGAGGAGTTCAAGTATCTCAGGGTTTTGTTCACGAGTGAGGGAAGAATGGAGCTTGAGATTGACAGACGGATTGGTGCAGCATCTGCAGTATTGCGGACTCTGTACCGGTCCGTTGTGGTGAAGAGAGAGCTGAGCTATAAGGCAAAGCTCTCTGTTTACCGGTCGGTCTACGTTCCTACCCTCGCCTATGGTCATGAGCTCTGGGTAGTGACCGAAAGAATGAGATTGCGGATACAGGAGGTTAAAATGAGTTTTCTCCGCATGGTAGCTGGACTCTCCCTTAGAGATAGGGTGAGAAGTTCAGTTATTTGGGAGAGACTTGGAGTAGAACCGCTACTCCTCCATGTCGAAAGGAGCCAGTTGAGGTGGTTCGGGCATCTGGTAAGGATGCCCCCTGGGCGCCTCCCTAGAGAGGTGCTTCGGGCATGTCCGGCTGGGAGGAGACCCCAGGGAAGACCCCGGACACGCTGGAGAGGCTATGTCTCTTGGTTGGCCTGGGAATGCCTTGGAATCCTCCCAGAAGAGCTGGAAGAGGTGGCTGTGGAAAGAGATGTCTGGGCCTCCCTGCTCAAGCTTCTGCCCCCGTGACCCGACTTTGGAATAAGCGGAAGATGATGGATGGATGGATGGATGGATGGATGGATGGATGGATGGATGGATGGATGGATGGATGGATGGATAGTGCTCCCTGATTATGTACACAGGGTCCCAGTTACATCCAACAAAAGTTTACATTTTATACTTTTTTGGATGTAACTGGGACCCTGTGTAAACAATTTCGTTCCACCAAATGGGGTGGGACAACAAATAAAGAAACTGACTCTTCATGCTTGTTCAAGATGAGAGTCTGCGATAGTTAAACTCAAAGCAGTCTTCTCAGATAAATTATTTACTTACTTTGTGATATATATATATATA